CTTTTTTTTAATTTTTTCATGACTGTTTTCTGAAAGTAAAAATTAAAAAGAAAAAAAAACCCTTTTAACTATTTTTTTTCCCTGGCAGAATTTTATAGAAAATGTAGGGGGTAGACTATATATACCCCCTTAAAATTTTTTTGGGAATTTTATTTAAATTAAATATTACTTCTCCAAAACTTTCCCAAGTTTTTCCAAAACTAAAATTTATTTTTTTTTTAATAAATTTAAAACATTTTTCAATTTTAAAGGTTTTAACTCATAAAAAATATTAATTTTAAACCCAAAAATTTTAATAAAAATATTCTAACAAAAACCTGTTTTTCCTCTTTTTAAAACAAAAGGGAAACCCTAAAGTGGGGGTTTTTATCCCAAATAAAATCACGGGTATTTAAACATTTTGCCCAAAACCCTTTTTACAGATTTTTGGGACATTAGTTTTAAAAAGGGTGAGGCGCTAAAAAATGAGTATGGAAAAAAAATCGACGCATTTGGTCCTTTAAAAACCTAGGAAAAGGAAAAGTTTTTTTATCTGTTGTTTTTTTTTAATCAAAAAAATTTATACCCAAAAATTTGTTTTTCATTTGCATTATAAATCACTTTGATATTTGAATAAAAATCATTAAAATCAATAGGGCACCCTCCTGATTTTAATTTCCCTTCGCATTTAAACCCCAAAAACTTTTTAATTTAAAGGCAATAAAAAAATTTTTTGGGTTTTTTTTATTTTTTTTTATAAAATTTTCCTTTTTTTATGCAGGGGTTTTGAGAACATAGGGGAATAAAATTTTTTCTTTTTTTAATCAAATTTAAGTAAAAATTGAAAAGGTTTTCCCTTCGGGTCTGTAAAAATTTAAATTGTTTTTGGTTATCCAAAAAAATTTTTAAATAAAAATAAAAAAAAATTAAACTTTTGCACTCCCTTTTGGCCCAAAGTTTTTCTTTTCCCCAAAAACGTCTCTTTCCCCTTTTTTGCCAAAACCCGTTGAACTGAAAATGCCAACTGATTTTACAATGCAGTGTTTCAAAAGAACTTTTTTTGGGAAAATCGCTTTTTTTGATACCTCCCTTTCAAATGTCGGTATGTGGAAACCCGAAAATTTTATGAAAATTTTTTTTCCTAAAAAACATTTCCCAAAAGTTTTTCAAAAAAACATTTTTAAAACATAAAATTTTTAAAAGGGGTGGGAAATTTGGAAATGTAATAAAAGGGCCTTTATTTTTATGCTTTTTTTCCGTTTTTTTACTGTGATAAAAATAATATTTTGATAAAAACCCCTACTGGGAAAATTTTAATATAATTTATTTTTTACTGTTTGCCGGACCCATATCTTTAATGCAAAATTAAAAAAAATTAACTAAATGGAAAAAACAGGCCCCCAAAAAAAAAGGGGGTCATACGTAAAAGTTCTTTCTTTTAAAAAAGAAAGTGATGTTTAAAACATTTTTCATGTTAAAAGTTTTAACAAAAATTTGGAAAGGGTTTTTAAAAGGTTTATTTTTTCAAAAAAATTTATGAGTAAATCAAAGATTTTAAAGGGTTTTAAAAAAGGAGAATGCGCGACGTTTAGGCCCGCCCAAACTGCAAAAAAGTAAAAATCTTTAAAAAACAGAAAAAAACATGAAAAAAAAGGAAAAATTTTTTTTTTTAACCCTTATAAGGGGTTTGGAAAAATTTTTAAATTTGTGAAAAACCGGTATTTTAAATTTTTTTTCGTTTGGGAATGGGCCAATTATGGAAAAATTAAAAATTGCAAACTGGTGTTTTCCCCCAGTGAAATAATTTTTTTATTTTAAAAATGAAAACAAAAAAGAAAATTCTCTTTTTTAAAAAATTAACCCAAAATTTAAAAGTTATTAAATAATTTAAAGTCTACATTTTTACACTAAAGTAATAATTATATGTCTTTTGTGTTAAAACAAAAACACCAAATAATGACAGGGCCCAAAAAACTTTTTTTAAAAACAGTATGAACCCGACCCGAAAACTAGTGTTGGGAAAAATTTTTTGTGACATAAAAAAAATTTTTGCAAAAAACTTGTTTTCAAAAAAAAATAATAAATTTCCCTTTTTGTGAAAAGATAAAATTAACATCCTTTTTAACTAAAGAAAAATTTAAAATTTCCAAAACCATTGAAACAAAAAGGTTTTTTTGTAAACCCCCGTTCCCCCAAAACCCAAATCCAGTTCTTTAATGCTTTTTTAACTGGTAAATTTAAAAATCCTCAGGAAAATTTAGTTGGCCACCACCAAATTTTAAATTTTTTAAATTTTACACGACACCAATACCCGATTTAACCCGTGTTCCCCCTAATTTTTGTCTGTTGTCCCAAGGAAAATTTTTTTCCCCAATAGGGGAAAAAAAGCGGAAAAATCCTTTTGTGGGTTTAAAAATACAAAAATATTAATTTTTAAAGGAAAAAAACTTTCAAAATAAACAAAAAAAAAGTGGCAAAGTTTTTGCTTAAATTTAAAAACAAATTATTTCTTATTTATGTCAAAAAAGTTGTAAGGTCCTTAAAAGGTTTTTTTAAAAAAATTTAATTACCAACCAATTTAACGTTGACGCGGGAAAATTTTAAAGATATAAAAAACCCAAAACCATTTTTTGTCCCAAAATATTTTTTATTTATTTTTCCAAAAAATTTTAATAAACATCAACCAGTTAAACAAATTATGTTAATGATTTTTTTATCAAAAAAGGGATTAGAAAATGCTAAAATTACCCCCCGGGGTTTTTTTAAATATTCGAATTTTTTCCCCTTTTTTTGAGTTTTTTTGCCAAAAAGTAAACCCTGCCCGGTTTTTACGGTGGCCCTAGGTTAAACCCATTTCCCTTGGGGCAAAAATTCGATAAATATCCGTTCAATTTGGGTTAAAAAAGCGTTTTAAAAATTTGGAAATTTTTTTCCCCGGTTTTTTGGTCCTGTTAAAGCAAAAAAAATTAAAACCCTGAAAAAAACTTAAATCATGGGCCAAAAAGAAAAATAAAATTTGGACCGAGTTTCCCCCTATATAAGTGAAATATGTCAAAATCGGATAGACCCTCGGTTTCCCATAAAATGGTTTGGGGCCCACACAGTATTTATCATTTTAGCCGATTAAACCCGGCCCCCATATAGGTATGTTTGCTTTGGGGTTTCATGTAAAAAGAGTGAAAATGAAAGTATTTTTAAAATTTAAAACTTTGTAAGGGGTTTCCCTTTTTTGAAAAATCCCTAAAATTACAAAAGGGGGATGTTTTAACCCCTAGATCCCCGGAAAAAGGAAAAAAACAGAAAATTTTTTAAAAGTTTTTAAAAAAAAAAAGTTTGGGAAACAAAAATTTGTAATACCCGGTTTTTTTTTGGTTTTAAGGAGGTTTGTCCCTGCTCTATTTTTTACTGTAAAGGCGTTTAAGGGGGGGAAGTTTATTTCCGGGGATAGATTTCTGTAAAGGCGTGAAGGAAGTAGTCCCCCTGTTTTATAGTTTAAATGTAAAAGGCGTGAAAGAAGGAAGGGCCCTGCTCTAAAAGTTACTTGGGAAAAGGCGTGGGTGGAGAAAAAATCATGCTCTATAGGGTTTCTTTTATAGGCATGGAGGAGGGAGTTCCCGGGTCTATAGCTACTGTATAGGCATGGAGGAGGTAGTCGTGCTCTATAGCTACTGTATAGGCATGGAGGAGGTAGTCGTGCTCTATAGCTACTGTATAGGCATGAAGGACGAAGTCGTGCTCTATAGCTACTGTATAGGCATGGAGGAGGTAGTCGTGCTCTATAGCTACTGTATAGGCATGAAGGAGGTAGTCGTGCTCTATAGTTACTGTATAGGCGTGAAGGAGGTAGTCATGCTCTATAGTTACTGTATAGGCGTGAAGGAGGAAGTCGTGCTCTATAGGTACTGTATAGGCGTGAAGGAGGTAGTCATGCTCTATAGTTACTGTATAGGCGTGAAGGAGGAAGTCATGCTCTATAGTTACTGTATAGGCATGGAGGAGGTAGTCGTGCTCTATAGTTACTGTATAGGCGTGAAGGAGGTAGTCGTGCTCTATAGTTACTGTATTAGGAGGTGTTATAGCGAAGGTAAGTATCATGCTCTGTAGTTACTGTATAGGCGTGAAGGAGAAAGTCATGCTCTATAGTTACTGTATAGGCGTGAAGGAGAAAGTAATTCTCTATGGGTACTGTATAGCCGTGAATGAGGTAGTCATGCTCTATAGTTACTGTAAAGGCGTGAAGGAGGAAGTCATTCTCTATAGTTACGGTATAGGCGTGAAGGAGGTAGTAATTCTCTATAGTTACTGTAAAGGAGTGAAGGAGGTAGTCATTCTCTATAGTTACTGTAAAGGAGTGAAGGAGGAAGTCATGCTCTATAGTTACTGTAAAGGAGTGAAAGAGGAAGTCATTCTCTATAGTTACTGTAAAGGAGTGAAGTAGGTAGTCTTTCTCTATAGTTAGTGTAAAGGAGTGGAGGAGGAAGTCATGCTCTATAGCTACTGTAAAGGAGTAAAGGAGGAAGTCATGCTCTATAGCTACTGTAAAGGCGTGAAGGCGGAAGTCATTCTCTATATTTACGGTATAGGCGTGTAGGAGGTAGTCAGACTCACCACTTTAGATAATATTATAATCTTAGGGCATGACTGGTGACATGTCCGGGGCCCGTACTCTCAGTGTCTGAAATGGCGGATGGACCAAAAGTCTACCAAACAGTTAAGGAAGAGATGCCGTTTAAAGGTTTTTTCTATTTTTAGCTCTGGCGGCCATCTTGTTCAGCAGACCGGATCCATTTAAGCAGTTTCGGAGGTGATCATCTAAGGATCATTCCTATAGTTTCATTACTATTGATGTACGGGTTTAGTTTAGTTAATTATTAGCGACAGACGATACAAGCCGAGTGCCGAGCCTGGGTATCATTTAGCTCATGATGTGCTGATGTGAGCTACTAACATATAGCCCATAACTATAAATAAGAATAAATGACAAAAAAAAGAAATCGTTAACAACTATGTTTTGGCTCTGATCAAAGTTTCAATTGTATTCTAGACGTGACATCTACTCGAAACTTATTCGTCTTTAATCTACATTGCTGTTTAAATGAAAAAATGTGAAATAGGATTATATTTTACATAAAAGAGTCTATCTCGACGTTAAATTTGCTAAATGGGAAACGCCGCCACAACTAAATTTTAACAATAAAAATCATCTTTACCTTTCCTGGCATGTTTAATCAAATCTATATGTTATTTCCGATATTCGATGCAGAATTTACATAAAAATAATAAGCCAATTCTGTACCTTTCTTAACATTTTAATTTGGTAACATGCACTAGCAGGCAAGTACCAATAGAGAGATGTTATAACCTCCGAGAGAGATTTGCCAGGTTTGTGTTTACCAGGCGTAATTGAAGTGTTTACAGACAAATCAGCTAGTCATCAAATATGTGGTTACAATGTCATTATTTACAATATCCTTCATTAATGATTTACCTGCATGAAATCCCCTAGTCTCTGATTGATACCATATACAGCATACATCTTGCACAATGTCTCCAGTGCTCCAGCAACAGACCGGTCAATGTCCAGGCGATTCACGATATAACTAAACTGCTTTACCACGTAAGTCTGGCAGTGCATCTATTATATATAATACAATTATTTAACAAACATTTTTTTAACAAAGACAGTTTGAACATAATCACTATAAAAGTTCAACTTGACAGCTGGACAAATAATGGTTTTCATTTTCATGAAAATTTAGAAAGATTTTAGCAGATTTGGAGACTTTTGTATTGGGTCAGAAATATTGACCATTATATAATACAACTCAAGATGAGTATAATATGGCTCTTTGATTTGCCTTATAAGTCAACATGTAAGTAAATACATGTATAATAGTACCAAAAAATTGATTTATCCTATGAAACAACCAATGAAACATGACTGTATGTATAAATGTTCATATAATATAATAATTTGTATTTGTAATAACTCACTTAATAAAGGAAATGAAATTTGTATTAGTTACAAAGGTACTAAATACTTGTATAGGAAACAATATATATACAGTGCAATCACTTCAGAAAAATACCCTCTGTACAGCAATAACCTCTGAACACTATCAATTATTCCCAAAGGAAAACTTCACAATACTGTACTGTATATCAAAGGATGGTTCTCTACAGACCTTGTACTGTATGTCAAAGGGTGATGCTCTACAGAGCTTGTACTGTATGTCAAAGGGTGATGTTATACAGAACTTGTACTGTATGTCAAAGGGTGGTGCTCTACAGAGCTTGTACTGTACGTCAAAGGGTTGTGCTCTACACAGCTTGTACTGTATGTCAAAGGGTGGTGCTCTACACAGCTTGTACTGTATATTTAAGGATGGTTCTCTAAAGAGTTTGTACTGTATGTCAAATGGTGATGCTCTACAGAGCTTGTACTGTATGTCAAAGTGTGGTGTTATACAGAACTTGTACTGTATGTCAAAGGGTGATGCTTTACCAAGCTCTACAGAGCTTGTACTGTATGCCAAAGGGTGGTGCTCTACAGACCTTGTACTGTATGTCAAAGGGTAGTGCTCTACAGAGCTTGTACTGTTTGTCAAAGTGTGCTGCTTTACACAGCTTGAACTGTATGTCAAAGGGTGGTGTTATACAGAAGTTGTCCTGTATGTCAAAGGGGGGTGCTCTACACAGCTTGTACTATATGTCAAGGGTGGTGCTCTACAGAGCTTGTTATGTTTGTCAAAGGATGGTGCTCTACAGAGCTTGTACTGTATGTCAAAGAATGGTGCTCTACAGAGCTTGTACTGTATGTCCAAGGGTGGTTCTCTAAAGAGCTTGTACTATTTGTCAATGGGTGGGGCTCTACAGAGCTTGTACTGTATACCAAAGGGAGGTGCCCTACATATCTTGTACTGTATGTCAAAGGGTGGTGCTCTACAGAGCTTGTACTGTATGTCAAAGGGTGGGAATCTACAGAGCTTGTACTGTTTGTCAAAGTGTAGTGCTCTACAGAGCTTGTACTGTATGTCAAAGGGTGGTGCTCTACAGAGCTTGTACTGTATGTCAAAGGGTTGTTCTCTACCGAGCTTGTACTGTATGTCAAAGGGTGGGATTCTACAGAGCTTGTACTGTTTGTAAAAGGGTGGTGCTCTACGTAGCTTGTACTGTATGTCAAAGAGTGGTTCTCTACAGAGCTTGTACTGTATGTCAAAGGATGGTGCTCTACACAGCTTGTACTGTTTGTCAAAGGGTGGTGCTTTCAGAGCTTGTACTGTATGTCAAAGGGTGCTGCTTACAGAGCTTGTACTGTATGTCAAAGGGTGGTGCTCAACAGAGCTTGTACTGTATGTCAAAGGGTGGTGCTCTACAGAGCTTGTACTGTATGTCAAAGGGTGGGGTCCCACAGAGCTTGTACTGTATGTCAAAGGGTGGTGCTCTACAATGCTGGTACTGTATGTCAAAAGGTGGTGTTATACAGAGCTTATACTGTACGTCAAAGGGTGGTGCTATACAGAGATTGTACTGTTTATCAAAGGGTGGTTCTCTACTGAGCTTGTACTGTATGTCAAAGGGTGGTGCTCTACAGAGCTTGTACTGTATGTCAAAGGGTGGTGCTATACAGAGATTGTACTGTATGTCAAAGGGAGCTGCTCTACAGAGATTGTACTGTATGTCAAAGGGTGCTACTCTACAGAGCTTGTACTGTAGGTCAAAGTGTGCTGTTCTACAGAGCTTGCACTGTATGTCAAAGGGTGATGCTCTACAGAGATTGTACTGTATGTCAAAGGGTGGTGCTATAAAGAGTTTGTACTGTACGTCAAAGGGTGGTGCTCTACAGAGATTGTACTGTATGTCAAAGAGTGGTTCTCTACAGAGCTTGTACTGTTTGTCAGTGTGGTTCTCTACAGAGATTGAACTGTATGTCAAGGTGTGGTGCTCTATAGAGCTTGTTCTGTTTGTCAAAGTGTGGTGCTCTACAGAGCTTGAACTGTTTGTCGAAGGGTGGTGCTATATAGAGATTGTACTGTATGTCAAAGCGTGGTGTTCTACAGAGATTGTACTGTATGTCAAAGTGTGGTGCTTTACAGAACTTGTACTGTATGTCAAAGTGTGGTGCTCTACAGAGCTTGTACTGTTTGTCAAAGGGTGATGCTATACAGGGATTGTACTGTATGTCTAAGCGTGGTGTTATACAGAGATTGTTCTGTATGTCAAAGGGTGGGAATCTACAGAACTTGTACTGTATGTTAAAGGGTGGTGCTATACAGAGCTTGGACTGTATGTCAAAGGGTGGTTCTCTACAGAGCTTGTACTGTATGTCAAAGGGTGGTGCTCTTAAGTGCTTGTACTGTATGTCAAGAGGTGGTGCTCTACAGAGCTTGTACTGTATGTCAAAGGTTGGTGCTCTACAGAGCTTGTACTGTATGTCAAAGTGTGTAGCTATACAGATCTTGTACTGTATGTCAAAGGGTGGTGCAATACAGAGCTTGTACTGTACGTCAACACATCATGAACAATTCTAACACAATGCACAAACCTTTGCAGCTGACACCATTGGTACTCCACACAGGTTCCTAGCTTCCTCTACAGACATCCCACCTTCTATTAAAGACTGCATTCTCTCAGCTATAGTCTTGATTAACCTTAAAGTTAAATAACAGTTTTTTACTTACCGGTATTTAAGTCCTCAAATTCACATTTTTCACATTTTTATATGTCTCCTTTGATTTTAACAATTTTTAATGTAAATGATAATTTAGCATATAAAGTGATGTCCAGTATCTTTAATTCGAAAAAAAAACTTTTCTTACATAAACAGAGTACATGTAAATACCCTTATAAATCGTTATTACCTGGCTGCTGTGTGTTCATATGCATCAATCAAATCAACCATGTTGAGGGAATCATTGAGGGAACTTCTCTGTTTCACTGGATTGTTGAGGTAAGACATAAATCCTACAAGTGTCTGTCCACTGGCCGCCTGGGCATACTGTTTTACTAAATATCTGATACAAAATAACTAGAAAAATATTTTATCATACCATAGTTTCATAAAAAGTTCATGTGATTCAAGTAAAAATGGTAGAAGTTTTAAGCAGAAAATGAACTTTGTTATAATTAAATAAACAAATTTTCATAATGAATATTTTGTATGCTTGAATTTTAACCCCTACTGCAAGCATAATGTAGTAACTTCCCAGCTTGGTTGTTGTAAGAAGTCCTCGGTTAACATATATGCTATTGTCATATAAAAACATAAATTGCACATGTTTGTTTGGTTGTTTCATTTTACGCCTTTTCCACACAGTATTTCAGTCATATAGGCGAGTAGTATCCTAACCATCGTTCCTGGAGAGTTACATCAGTACTAGACAACCTTCCTCCGCGCTAAACTACCAAAGCATCTCCCGGGGATCGAACCCACGCCAGAGAGGTAACTGGATTAGAAGTCATCGACTCTAACCCCTCGACCACGGAGGCGGTAAATTGCACATGTTTGCAGAACATGCATGATTGAAACGTTTAGACTTTAGATGACAAGAGGATAGTATTTGATCCCCCCAGTCACTATTAAATAATTAAAATTACATATTCAAACAAGTTGAATTATTATCTGTGTACCTTGCACACTGTAGATACATTACAGTATTCTCTCCCTCGTATGTACAAGCAGGAGTTACATATGCCCAAATCTTAGGGATCCCACTGGCATGTGTGTAACCATGACCACCACATGACATACGTAGTTTGTCTACACCATTACTGGTTGTTTCTGCTGAAAATGCCTTCAGCCCAGCAGCAAGAGCATGAAGCTGAAAGTTTGGGAAATTTTACATATTATGAAGGATATTATGAATGGTCATAGAGGTATACACTATTTCTCAAATCTCTACTGTCTTGTTTTTATGATGGTCAAGTCATGGTCATATCAAAACAGAATTTTAATGAATTATTACAGTGCCTGTGATTACGCTGAAGAAAACAAAATAAAAGATTCTCTTATGCAATAATCAACATCAGTTTAGCAGTTTTAGCCATGCACCACCCATAGAAATTTGCTTATTATATTATTTTCAATTTCTGTAATTTAGTAAGATTTTTATTAAGCAGCAAACAAGTATTCTACAAGCCAAGGTATTAACATCCCATAACCTGCTGGAACCGAATGTGATTAGCTGTCAGCATCAGTGTAGAGCCAGGGTCCAGCCTGCATCTACCTCAAATTTTAATTCTAATATCATTATTATGAAGTATGGCAATTACAAAAAGCAAGAGCACAGCATGCAGTGTTAACGTTCATCTGTTAATAACAAAATTTCATAAATAAAATGCGGATAACTTCTAAAAACATTGCTTTCATATGATAACGCCTCTTATCTAATAACAGCACCTATCATGATTACGCCTCTTGTCTAATAACAGTGCCTATCATGATTACGCATCTTGTCTAATAACAGTACCTATCATGATTACGCCTCTTCGCTAATAACAGTACCTATCAAGATAACGCCTCTTGTCTAATAATAGTACCTATCATGATTACGCATCTTGTCTAATAACAGTACCTATCATGATTACGCATCTTGTCTAATAACAGTACATATCATGATTACGCATCTTGTCTAATAACAGTACCTATCATGATTACGCATCTTGTCCAATAACAGTACCTATCATGATTACGCATCTTGTCTTATAACAAAACCTATCATGATTACGCATCTTGTCTAATAACAGTACCTATAATGATTACGCATCTTGTCTAATAACAGTACCTATCATGATTACGCATCTTGTCTAATAACAGTACCTATCATGATTACGCATCTTGTCTAATAACAGTACCTATCGAGATAACGCCTCTTGTCTAATAACAGTACCTATCGAAATAACGCCTCTTGTCTAATGACAGTACCTTTTTGGTAATTTTCGTATATTGTAAGTGCCTTTTGTAATGTTTAAATTATTTTCTTTGTTCACATTTAGTTCACTTTTTAAATAAATTTTATTTCTTTTAAAGAAAATTAGCATGAATCTAGAGCCATACAACTTTAACAACTCAAGTGTCAAGTTGATCGAATAATTAAAGTTTTAATGTACCAACATAATATTTAGCTTGTATATATTATTATACTTGCCATTCATGATGTTTATATGGCTGCTTCAAACTCATTAATTAATTTTCATTCTAGGAGAGCAATTGCATGTGCAGTGTAATATTCATGATATTTTTTTTAACTCAGAATATGACTTGCAATGTTTAAATGTTGTACATGTATAAACATCACCTTGTGTTAAACTTTTATATGATTACTTGCCAAACACAGTATTATAATTAGTAATTTCTTTAAACATTCTAGACCATATTCCATCTTTTATCTTTTTATCTTTATCTATGAAAAAATAAAAAATATTTGAAATATTAACTGCTGCCATTTCGTCAAAGATTCCTTTCTCCATGTCAGCATTAATTCTCATGTACTCCATTAACATAACATCTCCAGTGAAATATAAGGCATATGTTGAAGCTAACAAGGGGAACAATTTCTCTTGTTGTGTCTGGTAATCTATCACCTGGGGCTCCTCACCTCTGAAATGAAAGTTAGAACATAATGTAGAACTCATTCTCATAACTGTATTGGATCTCAAATATGTTTTTAACTTCAAATGAATTAATAACTAGTAATTTAGAGAATTAAGTCTGAAAAAAGAATATACTATCATATCAGAAATTGTTATTTAACATAAAGACAGAGCCTTATTTATAATATAATTTAAATCAGATTAAGTTTAAATCCAGGCTTTTCTGATATCTTATACATGTATACTGAGGATAGACTTTACTGATGTATTATAGTAAGTCCTCTAGAATATGCTTTATTTAGATCATAAGCCGAGTTGAAACAATGATCTTCAAGTCCATTTTAGATGCTGTCAATTGTTTTCAACAAAGTAGCCAGAAAGTTTATAATTGTGTCTAGGGGCCTTGGTCTTGTAGTTTAATCCTCTGATGTAACAATGACTTAGGGGCATTGGTCTTGTAAATCAATCCTCTGACGTGACATTGACCTAAGGGCCTTGGTCTTGTCGTTTAATCCTCTGATGTGACAATGACTTAGGGGCCTTGGTCTTGCATATAAATCCTTGTTGTAACATTGACCTTAATGCATTGGTCTTGTAAATCAATGCTCTGACGTGACATGGAACTAAGAGTCTTGGTCTTGTCGTTTAATCATTTGATGCAACATTGACCTAGGGCCCTTGGTCTTGTAGTTTAATCCTCTGATGTGACATTGACCTAGGGGCCTTGGCAATGTAGTTCAATCCTTGTGACATTAACCTAAATGCCCCGGATTTGTTAAACAATCCTCTGCTGCGACATTGACCTAGAGGCCTCGGTCTTGTAGTTAAATCCTTTGATCAGACATTGACCTAGGGGCCTTGGTCGTATAGTTTAATCCTCTGAAGTGACATTGACATAGGGCCCTGGGTCTTGTAGTGTAATCCTCTGATGTGACATTGTCCTAAAGGCCTTAGTCCTGTTAATCAATCCTCTGTAGTGACATTGACCTAGGACCCTTGATCTGGTAGTTCAATCCTCTGAAGTGACGTTCATTTGTTTTAAAATTTCATCATACATGCAGATGTTATCATAGATGAACACACATGAACATGTTATCATTTTATATTATCTCTACTCCCATTTTATGGCTATGGCATAAAACACACACATAAAAAACACATCAAATGTTAGTCAGTGGTTTGTATAAACATGCATCCTATGATATTATATACGTAATATACGATATAATATACGTAAGAACATTCTCTGAGCAAATGACCGGTATAGAATATTGTATATAGAAAGATTTTCTGTGGAAAATTCAGAGGAACTAAAACACTCAAAAAGGCTGGCTAAGCTAGATTCATACCCTGGTCTTATTTCTGTTTGTCTCCTCACAGCACTGTACCTGGTTGCTATAACACACGCTTGAGCTAGTCCCTTAGAGCATAAGCCCACGATAAATGCACGTACAAGTACCATGGTACCATATGCCAGTCTCGGGTTTTTTGAAGGTATATATGTACCATCTTTTTCCACCTGTACAAATATACATGTTTGATTTATATTGGTAAAAGAGAGGAAGCTTTATTATTATGATGAAACATTTTAAAAATATTTTTTTTTAATTAATTATTAAATTAAATTATTAATTGTTATTAATAAAATGGACTCCACTGAGGTTTAAAAGCCTAAATAGTAACATTTGAATTTCTTACATAAATGAGCTGTGGCACTTTAAACAGAAATATACGCAAAGATTGTCAAGAAATATACTTTAAAAAAAGTTGAAAATTGTATTTTTATGTTTTTCTTAGCCCGATTTGAGTGAAAAGCGTTTAAACGCTTTTCATTTTGAGTACTTTTTTTACAATTTGAATAATGATTCTGGAAAAACGAAGTGCGCGAATGATCTGAAATTTTGCACAAAGATTAGTGGTCTAACCTACATCGAATGGTACATTTATCTGGAAAAAATATTTTCAGTCTCATCATGTCAAAAAACCTCAGTGGAGTCCCTTTAAAGTGGAAAAACAGCTATATCAGACTGACTGTTATACTCCAATCTATTTGTTTATGTTTAACTATTACCACTTATCCTACTCAAATACTTTGTTATAGATCTAGATAACTCTGCTGTCTTTGTTCATTTAAACATAGAACGTTTTATATCTACAGTACTGCAGAAATTTTTGACAAAAATTATATTTGTGAATGCTAATGACTCATTTTTTGTTTCTATACAAATAAGCTTTGCAATAATGCAGAAGTGTCTAGTGTATTTGAGGTAATGTCAAATGAAAGACGATGTGCAGTTGTATATTTTTACTGAATCAAAGATGTTTAAAATTATACGTTTTTACAATAATACACATATAAAACCCATGACATAAGTTTAAAACGTTCTTTCTTACTTGCCCGACATCGAAAGGTGACAAAAAATGAAAAGCGAAATAATTCATATCAGCAAATACAAGCGCGTAAAATGGCTGCCAAGGAATAGTCAGTGTAGTGCATACTTTTAAAATCAAATTTCTACGTAGACAAAAGTCTATTTAGATCTGCGCAGTTCTTGAAATTGAAGAGGAAAATCTCGTAATACTGTGACATGACGGGTACGTTTTAGTCAATGTCGTATTGTTCCAGCAATCCGACATCATGTAACTTATTTATATATAGACAGAGCTGACACGATCGTAATGGTTTATCCTTATGTTATCCCAATGAAACGATATATAAACTGATCTTTACTGTATATATTTAAAGTCAAGGTCAAATTAAGGTCAATGTCAAGTTAAGTTTATTTATTGCAACGGCAGCGACAACCTGACTGTAGCTATACAAATATCTCACCTTGAGCACTTTGTGCTCTGGTTCAAGCTAGAAATTGAGCAAATTGAGAAATTGATACAAAAGCTGGACTGATCGAATATTCTGGTGGGAAAGTCTATAATCACATTGGGGTTTAGCTAAGATTAAGTGTCAATAAACACTTATGAAAACTACTGACTTTCATTTACCTGACTAATTACTAAATGATTTACGTACTGACTTTATCTATAGTTTACTTGAATGTTTTCTATTATTCTAATATAGTTTTATATTACCTTGGAATATCGTGCCAGTAAGTTAGCTCTAGGAATGCGAACATTGTCAAATCTCAGGAATCCATTGTCCATAGCATTATATCCAAGTTTGTTCCCAATGTCACCTACTGTCACTCCTAGTGTAGAACAGTAACTAGTCATTATAAATTACATACTAATACAACTTGTTCATTCAAATCAAAATCATTTAAAGCAGAAGAAATTACAATTTAATTTAATGTTTTTTATTAGGAATTTTCTATTTAGACAATTTTTGATATTAAAAATCGTGAACAACTCTGTTAAAATGATTCCTGTCTAGTTATATTAGTTAACTGACACTGAAAGAATTGAATACAGACCAGAATATTTTGATCGAGGATGATATTCTACAGTTCTACAGACTATGTTAAAATACATGAACGTTATTGTTACCCGCCTCTCCCCGCCCCCCCCCCCTCCCCACATACACACATTACCTGGCAAAGGTGTATGATCCTGTTCACTTCTGATCTGAACTATAAATGCATGTACACCATGACATTTGTCTTTCGTATAAAGCTGAGCCATCAAAACAACATGGTTACTACATTTTCCTACTGAAAAATGTAAACATTGAAAGAAATGACACAATCACTACAAAATGTTCTGCCATCTAACTTAATGTGTGTTTCAAAATGACTTTTAATAAACATTGTTTGAGGCGCATTGACCCCCAAATGCGCAATAATTTTCATTTTTTCAAATTCTTTCCAATTTAAGCTCACATTAGCACAAAGTTCTAAGAGATGAGTTTTTGTAATGGCAGTTTGTCAGCCATTGTCTGTCGTTCAGCCGAGTGGCCATACAATGTAGGAAGGGACGACGAGGAAAGTGTTCTAGGGTGCGTAAGCTATGGAACGCCTGGACTGTCTTATGTTAAGAATGAATGATATACCTGGTTAAATGTCTTTCTGTTGAGTCCGAGATACAAAATGCTGGGTGGAAATCCTAATGTGCTCAGTTATTGAAGTGCTATGTTGTGTGCTGACTGTATTTTATTCAGTCAAGTCAATGAATTGTCGGGTGCATAAGTCGTTATGTTCAGTTCTTAAAACAAACAGGCATGTAGTAACACAATTATGTTGAGTTAAAAAGATATGTTGTAGGGTGTTGCAGTTATTGTGTTCGGTTATAATAATATGCTGTTTGGTGCTCTTCTCATCATGTTCAACCATGAAAATAAACAGTTGAGTGGTACTATCATTTTGTTTGGCTTAGGCAGTGTATTTTTGGGTGATACTTTTATTATTTTCAGTTGCAATGATATGCTGTTGGGTGCTTTATTCCTTCTGTTCAGTCGTGAAATAGAACTGTTAAATGATACAATCATTATCTTAAATGGTACTATCATTATCTTGTGTGCTGATATCATCTTCTTCAGTCAAGCCAATGTATTGTTCGGTGCAAAGGTCGTTATGTTCAGTTGTTTTTTGGTACTATCATTATGTTCAGTTCAAATGATTTACTGTTCGGTGCAGAGGTCATTATGTTCAATAGTGGGTTCATTCGGATATTTTCGGGCAACAAGATGGGAGCGACTAATTTCCATAGGTCACGTCGAGGCTAATGACCACTAAATTGCCAAAACAATTTTCTTCCCTGTAAATATCATCGGGGGGCTTAAGAACGTTATTTTCATAAATTGGACTTTTAAATACCCAATCGGTATTTTATTTAGTTAATTCATGACTATGCTTTACTGTTACAGTCATAATAGGTACAGTATATAAAACTTAAAATATGGGTAAGGGTAGCCTGTTAAAGTCACACATGACCACCGTAAATAAAACTTAAAATGTATCTGTTTGGTAACCTATAAGAGTCACAAATGGACACAGCAAACGAAATTTAAAATATAAAACATCATATACAAGTAAGGGAACCCTATTTGAGTCACACATGGCCACAGTATATGGAGCATATAAGTAAGGGTAGCCTATTAAAGTCACATATGGCCACAGCATATGCAACTTAAAATATATGTGTTGGTAACCCATTTGAGTCACACATAACCACAATAAATGGAACATAATATTTAAGTAAGGTAAACCTATTTGAGTCACACATGGCCACAGTATATGGAACATTAAATATAAGTAAGGGTAGCGCAATAAAGTCACACATACCCCCATTATGAAGAACATTCTATATAAGTTAGGGAAACCTAATTGAGTCACACTAGGCCAAAATATATGGAACATTATGTTTAAGTAAGGGAAATCTATTTGAGTCACACATGACTAAAGTATATGGAACATTATATATAAGTAAGATAAGTAAGGGTAGCCTAATAAAATTAGACTCAAATACATTTCCCTGAGTTAAACAGTATGTCTAATATCTTGTGGCCATGTGTGACTCAAATAGGTTTCACTTACTTATATAGAATTTTCTTTATACTTTGGCCATGCTTGACTTTATTAGGCTACACTTACTTATATATAATGTTCCATTTACTGTGGTCATGTGTGTCTCAAATGGGGTTTCCATACTTATATTTAAACGTTCCATAAACTGTGGCCATGTGTGACTCAAATAGGTTTGCCTTACTTGTATATTATGTTTCATATTTTAAATTTCGTTTGATGTGTCCACTTAATTGTGAGTCTAAAAAGTTACCAACACATATATTTTAAGTTTTATTTACGATGGTCTTGTGTGACTTGAACAGGCTACCCTTACCCATATTTTAAGTTTTATATACTGTGCCCATTATGACTGTAACAGTATAGTATAGTCATAAATTAACTTGATAAAATACCCATTGGGTATTAAATATGCCATACGATCTGTCCAATTTATTGAAATAACGTTCTTAAGCTCCCGATGGTATTTACGGGGAAGCAAATTGTTTTGGCAATTTAGTGGTCATTAGCCTCGACGTGACCTATGAAAATTAGTTGCTCCCGCCCGCCATCTCGTTTGGACGCGAAGATATCCGAATGAACCCAACATAATTGTATGACCACTCAGCGCATTGTCAAATGACTTGTGCACCGAACAGTATATCATCTGAACTGAACATAATGGCGGTATCACACCACAGTTTGTGTTCACTACTGAACATAATGACTTCTGCACCGAACAGTATATCATCTGAACTGAACATAATGACGGTATCACACAACAGTTTGTGTTCACTACTGAACATAATGACTTCTGCACCAAACAGGATATCATCTGAACTGAACATAATGACGGTATCACACAACGGTTTGTGTTCACTACTGAACATAATGACTTCTGCACCGAACAGTATATCACCTGAACTGAACATAATGACGGTATCACACAACAGTTTGTGTTCACTACTGAACATAATGACCTTTGCACCAAACAGGATATAATCTGAACTGAACATAATGACGGTATCACACAACAGTTTGTGTTCACTACTGAACATAATGACTTCTGCACCAAACAGTATATCATCTGAACTGAACATAATGACCTCTGCACCGAACAGTATATCATCTGAACTGAACATAATGACCTCTGCACCGAACAGTATATCATCTGAACTGAACATAATGACGGTATCACACAACAGTTTGTGTTCACTACTGAACATAATGACATCTGCACCAAACAGTATATCATCTGAACTGAACATAATAACGGTATCACACAAAATTTTGTGTTCTCTACTGAACATAATGACATCTGCACCGAACAGTACATCATCTGAACTGAACATAATGACTTCTGCACCGAACAGTATATCATCTGAACTGAACATAATGACGGTATCACACAACAGTTTGTGTTCACTACTGAACATAATGACTTCTGCACCAAACAGTATATCATCTGAACTGAACATAATGACGGTATCACACAACAGTTTGTGTTCACTACTGAACATAATGACATCTGTACCGAACAGTACATCATCTGAACTGAACATAATGATTTCTGCACCGAACAGTATATCATCTGAACTGAACATAATGACGGTATCACACAACAGTTTGTGTTCACTACTGAACATAATGACTTCTGCACCAAACAGTATATCATCTGAACTGAACATAATAACGGATCACACAACATTTTGTGTTCTTTACTGAACATAATGACATCTGCACCGAACAGTACATCATCTGAACTGAACAGAATGACCTCTGCACCGAACAGTATATCATCTGAACTGAACATAATGATAGTACTATTCAACAGTTCTATTTCACGACTGAACAGAAGGAATTAAGCACCCAACAGCATGTCATTGCAACTGAAAATTATTAAAGTATCACCCAATAATACACTGCCGTAGCCAAACAAAATGATAGTACCACTCAACTGTTTATTTTCATGGTTGACCATGATGAGATGCTATTTTAACCGAACATTATAACTGTCACACCCTACAACATATCTTTTTAACTCAACATAATTGTGTTACCACATGCCTGTTTGTTTTAAGAACTGAACAGAACGACTAATGCACCCGACAATACATTGACTTGACTGAATAAAATGAAATCAGCACACAACATTACACTTCAATAACTGAGCGCATTTGTATTTCCACCCAATATATTGGGATTTTGACCCAGCATATTGTATCTCGGAGACAATAGAATGACATTTAACCGTGTATATCAGTCATTCTAAACACATAAGACAGTAAGATACTCAACTGTTTATTTTTTCATGTCCAGATGAGATGTTATTTTAACGAATTATAACTGTCACACCACTACAACATATCTTTTTAACTCAACATAATTGTGTTACCACATGCCTGTTTGTTTTAAGAACTGAAAGCAGAACGACTAATGCAGCCCGACAATACATAGACTTGACTGAATAAAATGAAATCAGCACACAACGATTACAACTTCAATAACTGAGCGCATTTGTATTTCCACCCAATATATTGGGATTTTGACCCAGCATATTGTATCTCGGAGACAATAGAATGACATTTAACCATGTATATCAGTCATTCTACACATAATACAGTCCAGGCGTTCCATAGTAAGCTCCTTCCATATTGTCTCAGTTTACTGTACATTGTATAACTTCTCATTGGCCGCCGTACATTGGACTACTTTTCGCTCAAAATTCATATGTTTGGCTAACACTCCGTAGAAATTGCACGAACGTAAATCAGCACTACTTTGTGCTGAAACCTATTAGGGCATGACTTGTGACATGTCCGGGGTCTGTACTTGACAGGGAAATCTGTTTTTAATATCTAAAAGGGCGCATGTACTACCAAACGATCTTCATGTAAGAACCTCGAAACCTGTGTATAGGCTCCTACGGGGTTAAACAATATTCGGAAAATTTCTCTTAAAAAAGAAACGTTAGCTCTGTATTTCTGGATTCAGTTGATTATGCGAAAAAATATTTTTGAACAACTGGCTGAACAGCTAGACCATAAGTGGCCTAAAGCTTAATTCGACCTATATTTTATGATGTTTCATCTGTGTACCATTCCAATAATTAATACAATAAATTGCCTTGTCAAAAGTATATAATTATCTTTAATTCTAACCATTATCTTTAAAAAAAATCCCTATTTTAGTAACAATGACATTGACCTTAAACCTAGGGGTCCAATTGCCATTCCAAGCTAGGTCTCTTCATAAACATTCTATATGACAAGTTTAATTACAATACATCATTCCTTCACTCTAGTTATTGTTCAGAAACCAATTTTCTATTTTTAATTACAGTGACCTTGACCTTTAACCTAGGGGGTCGAATAAATATCCCAAGCTAGATATGCTAAGTTTTATTACAACATCACATTCCTAACTTGAGTTATCGGCTTAAAACCATTTTACTATTTTAGTAACCTTCACCTAAAGGGTCCAAAAGCCACCCTAACCTCTACATAAGTTTGCTACATACCAAGTTTTATTTCAATATCTCATTAATAACTTTAGTTATTGTCCGGAAACCATTTTTCTATTTTAAGTATCAGAGACCTTGACCTTAACCCCAGGGGGTCCAAAAGCAATCCCAGCCTGGGTCTTCATATAAGCTTTCAATATAACAAGTTTAATTACAATATCTCATTTCTAACTCTATTTTTTGTCCGGGAATTTTACTAACAGTGACCATGACCTTGTCACTAGGGGATTCAAAAGAAGTCTCAACGGGGTTTTCCACATAAGATTACTTATTTAAGAAAGAAAGAAAAAAAGCAAGAACAACTTCGTATGCGTGTCTGTAGTCTTTTCTTGACATATAACTGATGCAGACCGATCACACAAATCAAACATATCAGTTGTGCTTCCGTGCGTTTGTGTTTGAAAGATCATTTAGTTGGGATAAATCGTGTTTCATTGTTTTCTATTTTGATAAATTGAGTTTTTTTATTGAAATCCCAGGAGTAGTTTGACTTGTGAAGGCCGGACAAGATTTTTCTATTTTCAGCTCTGGTGGCCATATGTGCAGTGAAGTGAAACATGCCGGTGATGTGCACAACTACAACTAGTACTAATCACTCCTGTAAAGTTTGGTTGAAATCCCACGAGTATTTTAACCTGTGAAGGCCGGACAACACTTTTCTATCTTTAGCTCTGGCGGCCATTTTGTGCAGCAAAGCGGAACGTGCCGGAACGTGCAGATGATTTTCACAACAAAGGATGGTACTGATCACTCCTGTAAAGTTTGATTGAAATCCCACCAGTAGTTTGACCTTTGAAGGCCGGAAAAGATTTTTCTAGTTTTGGCTCTGGCGGCCATTTGTACAGTGAAGCGAAACATGCCGGCGCTGTGCACAACACGAGTTGGTACTGATCACTCCTGTAAAGTTTGGTTGAAACCCCTAGAGTATTTTAACCTGTGAAGGCCGGACATGATTTTTCTATTTTTAGCTCTAGTGGCCATTTTGTGCAGCGAAGCGGAACGTGCAGATGATTTGCACAACTAGGGATGGTACTGATCACTCCTGTAAAGTTTGAAATCCCACCAGTAGTTTGAACTTTGAAGGCTGGACAAGCTTATTGCGGACGGGCGGACAACCGGCGGACGGACGGACAGACAGACAGACAGACGGCAAAGGCAAAAACAATTTGTCTCCAAAACATTTTGGGAGACATAATTAGGTTCTTCACTTATTACCAGTTTGGTAATTTGTATATTTTTTAATTATATTTGTACCAAATACGACGGAGAATCATTCCTGTATTGTTTTATCACTATTGATGCAGGAGTTCAGGAGGGGAAAAAACAACGGCAACTTACACGATCCCGGCCAGTATTTTGTTGATGAGATGGTTGGACTGTTAATAATGAACTCTTCAGTTTTATCATCATATGTGGCCGTTGTCTCCAAACCACGTATAAACGTTCCTGTACGTTAAAAATGAAATATAAATACAGAGACTGTCCCAATGACAAACAACGTATAAACGTTCCTGTACGTTCAAAATATAAATACAGAGACTGTCCCAATAACAAACCTCGTATAAACGTTCCTGTACGTTCAAATGAAATATAAATACAGAGACTGTCCCAATGACAAACCACGTATCAACGTTCCTGTACGTTAAAAATAAAATATAAATACAGAGACTGTCCCAATAACAAACAACGTATAAACGTTCCTGTACGTTAAAAATAAAATATAAATACAGAGACTGTCCCAATGACAAACCACGTATCAACGTTCCTGTACGTTAAAAATAAAATTTAAATACAGAGACTGTCCCAATAACAAACCACGTATAAACGTTCCTGTACGTTTAAAATGAATTATAAATAAAGAGACGGTCCCAATGACAAACCACGTATAAACGTTTCTGTTAGTTCAAAACGAAATATAAATACAGACTGTCCCAATGACAAACCACGTATAAACGTTCCTGTACGTTAAAAATAAAATATAAATACAGAGACTGTCCCAATAACAAACCACGTATAAACGTTCCTGTTCGTTCAAAATGAAATATAAATACAGAGACTGTCCCAATGACAAACCACGTATAAACGTTCCTGTACGTTCAAAATGAAATATAAATACAGAGACTGTCCCAATGACAAACCACGTATAAACGTTCCTGTACGTTCAAAATGAAATATAAATACAGAGACTGTCCCAATGACAAACCACGTATAAACGTACATGTACGTTAAAAATAAAATATAAATACAGAGACTGTCCCAATAACAAACCACGTATAAACGTTCCTGTACGTTCAAAATGAAATATAAAGACAGAGACTGTCCCAATAACAAACCTCGTATAAACGTTCCTGTACGTTAAAAATGAAACATAAATATAGAGACTGTTCCAATGACAAAACACGTATAAACGTTCCTGTACGTTCAAAATGAAATATAAATACAGAGACTGTCCCAATGACAAAATAAATCAGAGCTAAAGATAAATTCGAAATATGAATGAAAAGATCAATTGAATTTTTCATAAATATATTCACGAGAGTGTATTTTACTGTCTAGTCTGATCAAGGCTTCAAAATCAACGTCTTATATAAAAGATGTAGTATTTAGTATCAATACATATTTATTCCTAAAATAGTCATATATCAGTACACATAACATAAAATATACATATAGTGCTGTTTTACATAAACGAACATTAATGAATTATAATATTAATATAATAAATTTTATAATTTTTAAACATACTAGTAGTTTTTGTTTTGTTACAATAAGCATTGCTTCATAAAGTAATCAATAACCTTAATATTGAGTAATGAGTAAAAATTGTAAACAATAATGCATTTTATTAACATAGTATAATTATAGCAAATAATGAATTTTTATGCGACATTATGGCTATGTAAGGTTAATGGTATGTGAACAACTGAAAGTTAAAATAAATCTTCATTTTGCCATAATTCCTTTCAATATTAAAATTTATTTCGCATGAATGATAAATAACTAACTTGGCCAAAGGAAATTGGTAATTAATACAGTATGGCGCCGTTATAGTTAAAAGGTCTGTTTTCAGTTTGCAACTATTTGAAACAAAACTGGTCAAATAAGAAAAAAGATACATAAAACAGTCAAATGTAATGGTACATTTCTATGATACGAGCATCTAAATGCATGAAATGCATGAAACAACTCTGACACGGACGCTTTGCCTACTGCGCTATCAAAGCACATGAAAATATGAGGTTTTACATTGTGGGTAGCAGAGTTAATAGTTTTTTATGTAAACGTAGGCTCAAGTTATTCTCCTGTGACAGTAATCCGGCAAAAATGCCTCAGGTTAATATCTGAAAAGTGTGAAATATATCTCCAATATTTAATGCATATAAATTTGAAACGTTCATGTTTTTCAAAATAACAATAATTCTGTTATATTCATAGAATGAAAAAGCGAAAATAGCTTTAAACTCAAAATTTTCCAAGAAGTTATATATTATCCTTATAAAATTTCATAGCGTACTTAAAAAGATGTAAACCGATAACCCGCTTGGTTTGCGTTACTAGTGTTGTATATAAACCAATTCAAGACATATCCGTGATATGTAAGCCTCCTGGCAATGGCATGCCTTTAATAAATGGGCGGACAAATCTTTCTCCCTTTCTCGTAAGAGAAGGGGAATCTTGTGATGCGTGTATGTGGTCGCACGGTCACTTTCTTTCAAACCTGTCCTCGATGCATGTATGTGGTCGCATGGTCAAAAATCTCTAATATAATGATAACATTAACAAAGGCGTTTTGGTCCTGATTCTAAAATCCTAAATAGGAGGAAAATATGAATTGAGAAATAAAATCTTGCTTACAAGAAGCTTAAAAAGACTAAATAAAGAAGTTTTTAACACTTCTTCCAAAGTTTTTATGAACCCTGTAATACGCTATTTGCAATGTAGGGAGGTCACTCTAACCGACTCTATTTGTAGCGTAAAAGTAACCTCCCTTTGGATCCCTTACACTTACTTTGGTAGCACACCACAGTAATGTAAGCCACAGCTTCGAATGGCCAGGGAGGATTTCTTGGATATAGTGAATATTCTGGATTTAAATGACTGGTTGTCTTTAAAATGCATTTTCAGCATAAAATTTGTTTTTGTGACATCTAATATGATCACTGACAAATTCGAAAACATGGCCAGAAATCACATGCTGTTGATTATGAATGTCAAGGCCGCCATTTTTTGTAAACATTGCTTTTATACAGCATGCACGGTAAAAAGAAGTCATTTTACAGGGGGGGGGGGGGGGGGGGGTACAAACTTTTAGCAGTAGCAAAAAATCTACAAGGTTGAGGACTAGTTTCTTTGTGATATTTTGCATGTATAGGGAGTTGCTAAAGCAGAGACGGTGTTCCTTTAGCCTGTATATTTGCAGATATTTTTTGCCAGAGGATCGAAATGTGTTGTTTTGGGTCTCGGGCCACTGTAGATTTTGGGCTTCAACGGAATGAATTGCAAATTTTTTGACTGCCTGCCTATTGCAGATGGGATAATTTCTTTGTAGATTTGCAATCTTATGTCATATATGTTCTCAACAAAATGTGTTTTCTTTTTCCAGGTTGTGTAGTTTGGTATCAGAATTATTAGACGTATTGCTTGTAGGACATTGACGGCAGGAACTTTAAATTAACTGTGGAGTGCTACCTTTGGCATTCGGAACTGCCTCGGCTATTATCTATAATAACCTCGGAAACAATACGGATTGAAAGTAGTTCTACCACGTGGTTTACAGATGTAAACAGAAACAGAGATAATGTAAAACGAATGTATATATTTGACATCTAATGTCTGTTCCGGTACTCTTATGCTTGAAAATATGTCTGACAACAATTTGTAATTTAAATATGCCCACTGTTCAATTTTAAACAAATTCGACTAAATGTCAACAGGTTTTTTTTTGTACTTTCGGTTTCTACAGCCATATTAGTAAATATATAAATAATGTATTGTTTGCTTTTGTACATATGAATTCACTTATTTTAGGTGGACTTTTACTACATATAATGGAAATAAACTTAACAACTCCCAGGATTAAATTACTATTTGTTTACATGTTTAGTTTCTTAGCGTAGGTTAGACCGGAATACCGCATCCGTTCTGTGTATTCATACTATTGTGTTCGAGGTCCTTATCCGCAGACTGACGGAAAGGGCCGAGTAGTTGCGATTGTTACTTTTGATCCCTTATACTTGAGCGTATTTAGATAAAACCCATTGGTCACTTTTCTTAGAAAATGTACTCCATGCATGTATGTGGTAGCATGGTTGAAAATCTCTAATTAATGTTTTCAAAAGTGTTTTGCTACGGAACTGGTATAAAATGTAAATATTCTTTAAACAACCTGTTAAACCGTGATAAGGATACTGCTAAATAGGAGAGATACAAACTTTAACACAACATTGTTACTTTCATTTACAACAATTAGAAATTCTTACTCATAATTAAGAAAAATAAACCTAATAACAACTTTGAAACACTTAACAAGGATCTAGGAGAAATAAAAAATATTACTAGTTGAGATTAGCTTAAAAAAGCCTATATAAAAACCTAATTTGAACTTTGTACCTACTAATTAGGTTTATATATAACCAAAAAATAAAAGATTTTTTTTTTATCTAAAACTTCTTATTAGGACATGCAAAGTCCTAATTAGTTTTTATTTATTAAAACGTCACACCAACACATCCACGGTCATAAATCGACTTTCAAGCTTTACTGGTGGTTAATGACCCTCAACGCACGGACGGGAACCTAAGTAGAACCAACGATTTTCCATAAGCTAGCTGGAGAGTTTCTCCACATGAAAGAATCCTAAGTCCCTGGTGGGATTCCAACTCACAGCGGTGAGGGGCAAGTAGATGAACACTAATCCAGTTATAAATTCGCAAAAGTACGCAAAGCAATACACTTGTAAGATGAGTATTATATACACCTAACATGTACCGCAGTTGCTTACTATACTTTAATCAATGTTTTTTACATTTTTATTGCAAACAAAAAGGACATTAAAAATGTTAAGATCTATGATGGAAAATTTGAACTATCACAGATATTTATGTTGATTGTATTAAGTATCATGTGTGATAACAAACCAAAAACGAATTATGATATAATTATAAAATGTTCTACAACAAAATACTGATAATTCATCATATTAAATCATGTAGAACTAGATTAACTTTTTTAATTAGAAATATTTTTTAAGAATGTTCAAATGATACGTTTCTATTGCTTTTATCAATATTGAAATATATCTTGAAAATGTGCCCATTGTAGACCAATCCACTTTAAAAATAACAACATTTTTTATCTTGTGTCGGCAGATGGATAAGATCCTTTATCACGGAGCAACTAAATATATACAAACATTTATACAATGTTAATTGTAATTTAATACCACTCGCTAACTTTATTTTATCATAAGTAAATACATCTTGCGACATGTAACGGCAGAAGATTTTGCGACATTTAGCGGCGTTTTCGGCAAGTGCGACATTTAGCGGCGTTTTCGGCAAGTGCGACATTTAGCGGCGTTGCGGCATATAACGGCGGGCACCACATACAGAATGAGTTTTTCAGGCGTAAGAAGACAGTTTAAATTTGCTAGTGAACTGTCTTCTTCACGTCTGCAAAAAGACACTTAGAAGAAAGTGCGAGTGACTGTATCTGACTTATACGACGATTAAGTATAAAGAACTTTTAATTAAAATAACAAAGTTTTAACAAATTTAGTAAACATCAGTAATTAGACCTTATGAGCCTAAGTCATTGAAAGGCCAATGTCATATTTAAATTATTTGACAGTGTTCGTTTGCATGAATCAATCCACAGATATAAATAATAAAGTTTAACTAAATTCACCAATTTGATCTTCATTATCATACAGGTCATGGTCATATTGAATTATTCAAAATGAGGGTTTTGTCATCAGTCTTTTTCCCTCCAAGTGAGAATCAAAGCAATGAACTAATAACAAAGTTATGTTCTATCACAGTTACGAAATTCTGCCATTGAAGTCATTTTAATGCCCATAGTAAATATATAATAGCTTATTATCAAATCGGTAAAGATATCTTAATATAAAAAAATTATAACATCTTACCGTGACCCAATTCAGTTTGTGCATATGTCCCTATGATCTTGTATTGCTTAGCTCTTTCCAGGTATTTGGCTTTTTGTTCATCCGTTCCTTGTTTTTCAATAGTTGGAATAAACATGTCTTCATGGACACCTAAAGGGTTAGCCTCAGTTCCTCCTGTTGCTCTGTACATACAAAAATAATTTCTAGAAAGTGGTCCATTGCAACAATGTTAAATGTATGTTTTTATAGAATCTGGCGCCATTTTCATAAATACTTAATTTATAGAACCTTGGCCCCCTATTCATAAGTATAAAATCCTAGCCTTGTATTCACATAAAACATATTAAGATATACAGTGTCATGTTTCAGTGTTTACAAATAAGTAATTTAAGGAAAGGAGGACCAGTGCATAGGGGTAAAACGCTGTGATCTTATACAACCTGATTCTACCCAAGTCTTAACTCATCAAAATCTCTGTATATTTTATTCTTCTAAAAACGTGGTCTGGAGCATTACAAATGTATGCAATGTCATCTTCTATATTAAGCAATGTTCGGTATTTCAGTAAAGATTAGGATCTACATTATCTTTGTCTTATATTCACGGAAGATCAGAATTATCAGTATCGTGGACGTAATCTACCCTGTGTACACAAATTAGTGAAAAAGATCAAGATATACAGTAGCCAGAACCAAATCATAGGTGGCTCAGTGTTTCGAATTATAAATCAAGATAAGGATCTGTAGTTTGTTCACAAATAAGGATCCATAGTATCCTGACCTTGAGTTCACAATTATACAATAAAAACAGCTCAGTACAGTACAGTTCAGTACAGCTCAGTACAGTACAGTACAGCACAGTACAGCTCAGTACAGTACAGTTTAGTACAGTACAGTACAGCTCAGTACAGCACAGTTTAATACAGTACAGCACAGCACATTACAGTACAGTACAGCACAGCTATGCACACAACTCAGTACAGTACAGCTCAGTTCAGTAACAGTACAGTACAGCTCAGTACAGTACAGCACAGTTCAGCACAGTATTGTACTGTACAGTATAGCACAAAGCAACACAGCTCAGTACAGCACAGCACAGTACTGTTCAGCACCGTACAGTGCAACACAGTACAGTATAGTACAATACAGCTCAGTATAGTACAAAACAGTACAGTACAGTACAGCACAGCACAGCACAGTACAGTACAGTACAGCTCAGTACAGCACAGCACACTACAGCACAGCACAACACAGCACGGCACAGAACAGTATAATTAAAAATCGCACCCTCGAACTTGAACCCACTTCGCACGGGACAGGAACTGTTACACGAAGGATGGAGTTGGACCCCAAAGTGCGTTAGACTCCAAAGTGCGGTGTTACTGGGCTAAGTGATTTGTATCATTTTATACCATAATAAATAGAGGATATTCAAGTTTTTTCTATAAATACATCATTTATTTTCATCGAGTGGTATGAAAATAAATATTTCATGAGTGGCGGTAGCCACGAGTGAAATATGGTAATTTTCATGCCACAAGATGAAAATAAATCATGTATTTAAAGAAAAAACTTGAATTTTCTGTTTATTATATACAATTTTCTCTTTTTTTTGCGATAAAATTTGAAAGACTTTCCCTTATATTTTGTGTACTGGCAGAATTTAAAAGAAAGTAGTCCGGCAAGACACCAGTGAAAATACGGAAAATATGTTTCACTGCAGTGAAAAATAAATTTTTACAGTGAAAATACGGAAAATGAAAATACGCATTTCATTTCATTAATATTTCTCTATATTTCATTTATAAGTATATAATAAACAAGTATATAACCAGGATAACCTTCACATCTAAATGTATGATCTTTTATATATGAAAAAAAACCGCGGTTGGTCCTCGCTACCGATCTCTTCAACAAATTTGCACTGGTCCTACGGGTTCGAGCCTATATATTTTTGTTATCAATTACAGCAAAAATAGAGTTTCCACAGCTAGGATTATATAGGGGGAATGTCCATCAAACATTGATAGAAGAATTGAGTTTTTACCGTAAAAATGACAACGTACATAACGTTTTACTTTTGTACATCTGGAGAAGTATTTTAAAGCAAATAATGTTCATTCAGTTTAAATTAGACTGATTCTGTAGATATGGAAGAAAAATGCATTTTTTCAGTCTACAAAATCTGCGTAAACAAAACCTCAAATAGAATAAAAAAGGCACAAGAATCACAGGTAAGAACAAAGATCTCTTCAGCTGAATACAATCAAAACCAACATTTTATTTTATTTTTTTATTGGGTTTTACGTCACATCGACACAGTGAGGGGCAAGTGGTTTGAAGTCAACGACCTTAACCACTCGACCACGGACGCCCCCCAACATTATGTAACCAAATATTTGTGCAAATGATGACTGAAAAAATATTTGATGTAGAGCATTGACTTACAGGATAAAATACGTTTTGAATATACAACCAATTTAAAAAGTCTCCCGTTTAAAGGACATCTTATTTATACTTAACAATTTTGTTCGCTCTTAAAATTAAACCCATCTCTTTTTTTTAAATTTTCTTTGGATCCGAGTTCAAAACAAACGGAGTTTGACTGTTTTCTGGTCCCTGTTCACATTTAAATTACAAGGTACTTACTCAGTAAAGTAGAACTGCTCCCGATAGTCAGTTAGTTCCAGATCACGTTTAAGTTTCATTATGTATACATGGGTTTTGATACCAATGTCATATAGTTCGTTTCGATCTCGGTTGCACCATGGCTTAAATGAATGTAAGTACTTGTCTCCCAACGCGATCTTGTCTGATAAAAAAAGAAATTAACTTACAATTGACAATGTTTGCTTTACAGCGCAAAGAGGATTCTTTGTTTAACTTAAGTGATCATCTTTATTTTGGAAACAATTTTGTATTATCTAAATTTTCACAGTAACTTCATATTTCTACGAGAGCAAAGGTGAAAAAAATCCCCCTGGGCAGTGCACTGGCAATTCCCTCTTGTGCAATGAATACCGGAATACATTAGACATATTGACAAAACATATATTACTAAGTTACTTCCCTTATTACTTACAAATCGAAATCTATGTCACATTACCGAAAGTATTAACTAGTACACGCGATCAATACTATGATGATGTAATATACTATAAATATATTGTTTTATTAGATAATTATCATTTTTGTGTTCTATATTTTGAACAAACTAGTTAAAGGTAGTGTTCAGTTTCAATTGATTGCATTATGGAAACGGCCGAAAAGTTGCGATGGATTCGCCACTGCGAGATAAGCATACGCATGGAAATTAATCAGGATAAACGTTTAAAAAAATGCCATATTCCGTTATACCCCGTATAGAGCAGTTGATATTAAAACTATATATAATGACGTTGCTTAATAAATTTTGCTGACTGGCTTACTACAAAATACATGGTAATATTTCAAAGCTGCCTCCCATTATAACAGTGTGAGTATATGTATATAAATATTTTTAGCAATCAGATTAAAATCGGCTTAAAACAATTTTGCGCTTTTTCACTAAACATTAGTATTACATCTAAACTTTCGTAAAAATGATAAATTCGGAGACAGGATATTCCATCAAGATTTGTTCGTTTGTTACACCGATTTCAACACAATTTTTGTCATACTACATGTACTAGTAATTTGGCAGGCGGTCCACTTAACTGCCTTTCCTGGCTAAGTAACCAGTAATTTCCAATTTCTCCGCAAGTGACCTTCCACTATTGACAGATGATTCAGCAATGTGAGACAAAAGACCATGAGTCTCAATGTCCGAGATCAATTGTCATGAAGAACATTTCACATCATCCGAGAATCTAACCAGATTACCCTCCATATGAAATCCGATGTTCTCCTTCCTACTGAGGTAAGCATTCGGATACAATCTCCCAAAGGCAATGACAACATAGTAATGTATAAAACAGGCAGAATGTGTGACTTACGCAAATAACGTCTACGTTCCATCATTTCTCTACCATGATACAGCAACTCTGTAAGTGTTTCTGTATTAAAGGTGGCAGACATACGTTCCTTCTGTAAATCTTTGTTCATGGCCATTGTTTAGTGTTTTTGTTTAAACTTCAAATACTAGAAATCCTTCAAACTTGTCCCAATAAAACGTAAGTGGTGTAACAATGTCAAGAAATTGTATCTGAAATAGAAAACGGTTCTTTTTAAATATCATTTCATAATTAACAAGTGATAGGAAATTCTCACAAAACCAGACATTCTGCCAAAATGAGATAAAGAAAAGAAAGTGTCAAATCCATGACAGTTGATGGCAATCATTTTGTGAAAGTTTAGTTGAAATCACTTATCGACAAATGTAGAATTGCCCGGAGTAGAGATTGTTTATAACTACCCTGCCTGCAAACCAACATTCACCAATTTTCCGTCCGACTGTCCGCCTGTCCATTAACATTCACCAATTTTCCGCCTAACTGTCCGCCTGTCCATCGACGTTCACCAATTTCCCACCTGTCCATCAATTTTCCGCCTAACTGTCCACCTGTCCACCGACATTCACCAATTTTCCGCCTGATTGTCCGCCTGTCCACAAATTTTCCGCCTTACAGTCCGCCTGTCCAGCAGTCTTCCGCCAGACTGTCCGCCTGTCCATCAATTTCCAGCCTAACTGTCCGCCTGTCCACCGACGTTCACCAATTTCCGCCTGACCGTCCGCATGTCCAACAATGTTCCGCCTAACTGTCCGCCTGTCCACCGACGTTCACCAATTTTTTCCGTCTAACTGTATGCCTGTCCAACAATTTCCCGCCTAACTGTCCGCCTGTCCACCGACGTTCACGAATTTTCCGCCTGACCGTCCGCATGTCCAACAATTTTCCGCCTAACTGTCCGCCTGTCCACCGACGTTAACCAATTTTTCCGCCTAAATGTATGCCTGTCTACCGACGTTCACCAAATTTTCCGCCTACCTGTCCGCCTGTCCATCAATTTTCCGCTTGTCCACCGACGTTCACCAATTCCGGCCTGATCGTCCGCATGTTCAACAATTTTCCGCCTTACTGTCCGCCTGTCCATTAACGTTCACCATTTTTCCGCCTTACTGTCCGCCTGTCCACCGACGTTCACCAATTTTCCGCCTAACTGTCCGCCTGTCCATCAATTTTCCGCCTAACTGTCCGCCTGTCCACTAACATTCACCAATTTCCCGCCTGACTGTCCGCCTGTCCATCAATTTTCCGCCTAACTGTCCGCCTGTCCACTTACATTTACCATTTTCTCGCCTGACTGTCCGCCTATCCATCAATTTCCCGCCTAACTGTCCGCCTGTCCACTAACATTCACCAATTTCCCGCCTGACTGTCCGCCTGTCCACCAATTTTTCTCCTGACTGTCCACCAATTTTCCGCCTGACTATCCGTCTGTCCAGCGGTGTTAGTCCGAAAGCCATAAAATAAGAATATATACATGTATTAGTCAGTCCACTTTATTTTATATGTAATTTTGTTGTTGTTGTTGTTGTTGTTGTTGTTGTTCGGATCACATAAATTTGATGTGCAAACAAGTCGATTATATCTGGGACAGAAAGTTACACATTATTATTCTCAGATTATATCTAGAATTTTTCAAGAAATTGTTTATATTTGGTGAATACCGAGCTAAAAATGACAGCGGGAAGAAAATCCGGGGGTCTTTTTGTACATGTAATTCCGCGGGTACCAAAAGTATTTCGGGTACAATAATACAATTCCCGGGTGTTTCAGGGTATACCAAGGATACTTAGGAACTCGGTAACGGGCTCATATTTCCCAATCGGAACGTCCTCGACTATTATCTATAATAACCTTGGAGTAAATACGGAGTGAAAGTAGTTCTCTTGGTTAGAAACAGGGAATGTAATATTCAATAATGTAAAACGAATGAAAGGAAAATAAAGTCTGTCTCGGTACTATTATGATTGAAAATATGTCTGACAACCACTTTTAGTTTAAATATGCCCACTGATGTATAATTTTAAACAAATCCGACTTGGCATTTCGTACTTTCGGTTTCTACAACCATACACATGTGTAATAAATATAGAAATAATGTATTGTTTGTCATATTGAATCTATGAATTCACTTATTTAAGGTGGACTTTTACTTGATATATTGGAAATAAACTGGTCAACAACCCCCAGCATTACATTACTACTTGTGTACATGTTTAGTTTCTTAGCGTAGGTTATAGTTTAGACCGAAATACCGTATCCGAGCCGAAAAATATGTACAATATTATATCAATATAACAAGATTTGCTACTTAAAGCTGCACGCCTCCAGATGAGTCAAAATATTTCGAGAAATTCAATCTTTAGAATGTATTACGATCTGAAGAAAAATAAGAGGTATTTATGTATATTTTGACCTTTTTTGGTAATTTACCTGGATTGTAAGTGCCGTTTGCAATGTGTAAATTACTTTCTTTCTTTTACTTTTAAATACATTTTCAAAATTTCATAAAAATTAGGATAAATCTGAAGCGTGCTGCTTTAAAAAGTGGCCAAATCTAACGGTATAATAAACATGACAATTTTTCTTTTTACAATATACATGAAGCGAAATTTTGACCCACTTTTTAAACTAGCAGATTACATTAAATTGAGAGTTTATATTTAAACACCACCCACTCCGGTAATATGAAAAGGTAAAGCCGGTATGTGCCGCAAAATACGGTCCTGTTCCCGAGTTCCTATGGAGGATACACGGGGGATGGATCTGTCAAACCCGCTTTAACCATTTTATAAATTTAGTGCTGCCCCAGAAAGAACTTTAGTGGGCTAAACTTGCAGAAGAACGTTATTATTCCTTTACAAAAATAGAAATCTATAATTATTCATTTCAATAATATTAAGATTTAATATCAAGTACATCTCATATTTCATATAAAAACATGCGCGTGTTTTACCTGTCCTGAAACACACTCAAATCCATTTGATTTTTCTAGGACTGTCAAGCAACCGTTCTATTAATTAACCTCGATAATAGATATAGGTTAAACACCACTAAATATGTGTTAAATATACCCTCCTTGAAAAAAGAATCATCAAAATATTACTTAATTACAGTTATTAAATATGCATAGAAGTAAACTTTTCCAATTTCCATGAGATAACTGTGACCCAAGTACATGTTAGTGTTTATCTGTGCTGTTCTACAGAGAACTTAGACGGCAGAGATAGCGACAGGAGAATAGCTACGGATGAACCCACTCCGGACAAAAGCCCTCCCGTACAAAAATGACAAGTGAAAATGACGGGGCGGACAAAAGCGGATGAATACTAACATACTTAGTGTCTTATTTGGCTTCATAATATTCACTTAATCAATTACGTCACAACTATTTTATGAACGCGGTTCTATGAAGTACTATGTATATGTTAGTGTTCATCCGTGCTGTTCTACAGAAATTAGAAACTTCGACGGGAGCGATAGCGACAGGAGAATGTTTCTAATTTCTGTAGAACAGCTAAGGATGAACACTAACATATTTAGTGTCAAGCTTTATTTGGCCCTTGATTACGTCACTACGCGGTACTATGAAGCACTATGAAAAATAGAAGGCGACTATGAACGGATTTCAATATAGTATCGACTTTTTTTCTTCTATGAAAATTAACACACATAATTTTTAAGAAATACAGCGTTTTCATCGGATGACAAATAAAGCTGGACACTAACGCAATTAATTGAATTCGATATAGTATCGACTTTTGTTCTTCTATGATACGTATATTTAAGTGTTCATCCGAACTGTTCTACAGAAATTAGAAACTTCGACGGGAGCGATAGCGACAGGAGAGAGAATGTTTCTAATTTCTGTAGAACAGCTTAGGATGAATACTTACATACTTAGTGTCAAGCTTTATTTAGCTTCATTATTAATTACTTTATTACGTCACTTTGCGGTTTTATGAAGTACTATGAACAAGAAATATCTTTAAAAAAGATAATCGGCGTAAATTCAGTGCAAAATGTCTCATAGCTTTAGAATATTTTCAAAATTAATGATATTTATACTTTATAACAATATAAATGTCTAAATTGAAATATATTTGGTGGTTACTAGTATAATCTATGACAGTTGTCTAAACTTAGCTGAAACATGTATGCTCCTACAATGTCAACAAATTAGTCATGTTTTTATAGATGCTAGAAGCTTTTTTGTCACCGTGACTTTTGACTACTGGTTTCAAAGTCAATACCAGATAATAACCAACCACACTACCAAATTTAGAGACTGCAAAGGCCACAATCAGCTGACAACTTGAATTTTATTGTTAAATAATATTAACTTATATGTATCTGACCTTCATTTTGTAAAAGCACTTCTGTGCATAAAATGCTGCAATTATTAGGTCATGATAATAACACCAAAATCTTTTGTTGTTTATATCTTTTATTTATGAAAGAATACAAACTGTAATAAACAATCAATGGAACATATCAACTCTGAACTATACTATTTATAATGCCTTCTTATCTATCTGGCAATGAAAATGAATAATTGAAGACTTAAATCAAAAGTTAAACATAACCTTACTAGTAAAAGTTATAATTATGTATTTTATAAAAAAAGGATTTCTATTAAAAATTGCACAGCTTGACTAGTATTTTGTATATACTAGGGGTATGAGGTGGAGGTACTAGTTAAGCCTTCTGGCATGGCTACGTGTCGTACACCTACACAGGTTATATTTTACAATGTACTTTAAATGTGGAATGTAAAATATAAATGTTGTTCCATATATACAGAAATATATCTATTTATCTTATAATAAGTACTAAACTCAATTTTGTATAACCCATCAATGACACTGATTATCAAGTGAGACAGTTTCAGATTGAGGTAGTCAATTGGGGTGTATTTCGGTAAATTTACCTACCGGTGTAAACAAACGCCGAATAATTATGAATAAATTAATTTGTTATTATTACGCACAAAAAAATAATACTTAAAGTTTTGCGATTCTTTATGATAATGTTGCATTTTAAATATATTAATTTTCGCAATTCATATCAGCTCTGGAGAATCTTTTTGTTGATCAAAAATATCGTTCATTTTCATAGAAAACAGGAAAGCTACGGCAAATAAAGTACGAGTGAGTAGTAATCGAATGTTTAAGAAAAGGCTGAAAAACAAAAAGTTGGGTTTGTTGTTAATATTATCAACAAAATAAATTGTACATGAAATCATATGTACTGTATATTTTTGTATTTTGATATATCTTTGTTTTGGTCATAACGTTGTGATATTTAGTTTACGATTGTATAAATATTTTTAATACAACTTTATTCTTAGAGACAAGTAAACTAAAGATTACGAATTTGTCCTTAAATTTCATAACAGCCAGTGTTTCCACCAATGAAAAACACCCTCTTTTAGCTGAAGATTTTGTAACTAACAATTTCATTTGTTACAAATCTAGGTCAAAATCCATTTTAATACAGCTACGCCGAAAAATAGAAGTCGACTATGAACGAAATTCGATATACAATGTAGTATCGGTTTTTGTTCTTCAGAATTTTGAAGAAATACAGCGTTTTCATTGGATGACAAATAAAGCTGGACACTAATTGATATAGTATCGACTTTTGTTCTTCTATGAAAATGAACACTCATTATTTTGAAGAAATACAGCGTTTCCATTGGATGACAAATAAAGTTGGAGACTAAATGTACAGAATTTTTAAGAAATACAGCGTATAGTATCATTGTTTCAGCATACATGTATAGTCTCATTGTTCCAGCGTACAGTCTTACAGTCTTGTTTTCTTTGTTTTATTGCACCAGCGTATAGTCTCATTGCTGCATCGTATAGTCTCATTGCTCCAGCGTATAGTCTTATTGCTCCAGGGTATTGTCACATTGTTCCAGCGCATAGTCTCATTGCTGCATCGTATTGTCTCATTGCCCCCAGCGTATAGTCTTATTGCTCCAGCGTATAGTTTCATTGTTCCAGCGTAAAGTTCGATTGCTCCAGCGTATAATCTCATTGCTCCAGCGTATTGTCTCATTACTCAAGCGTATAGTTTCATTGCTCCAGCGTATAGTCTCATTGTTCCATCGTATAGTGTCATTTTTCCAGGGTATAGTTTCATTGTTCCAGTGAATAGTCTCATTGTTCAAGCGTATTGTCTCATTTTTCCAGCGTATAGTTTCATTGTTCCAGCGTATTGTCTCATTGTTCCAGCGTATAATTTCATTGTTCCAGCGTAAACTTTCATTGCTCCAGCGTATTGTCTCATTGCTCCACCGTATTGTCTCATTGCTCCAGCATATTGTCTATTTGTTCTAGCGTATTGTCTATTTGTTCCCTCGTATTGTCTCATTGCTGCAGCGTATTGTCTCATTGCTGCAGCGTATTGACTCATTGTTAACAGCGTATAGTTTCATTGTTCCAGCGTATAGTCTCATTGTTCCAGCGTAAAAGTCTCATTGCTGCAGCGTATTGTCTCATTGCTGCAGCGTATTGTCTCATTGTTCCAGCGTATAGTCTCATTGCTGCAGCGTATTGACTCATTGTTAACAGCGTATAGTTTCATTGTTCCAGCGTATAGTCTCATTGTTCCAGCGTAAAAGTCTCATTGCTGCAGAG